CCATATATTTACAAGTGTGTTAAGCAGTTGCAGTTTTCTAAAAAAAGTTGCCAAATAGAAATTATACCAGAGAGTCAGAAGATCTTAGATTATCACATCAAAAGGTTCGAAACATATTATTATGTAGGCTTTAGAGCTAAAAGTTTTTTTTAAAAAATAATTGAATTTTTAATCCATAAAGCTCTAGAGATTTTAGAAACATTAAATTTTAATAATCTCCAGGACCTAAGCTACAGACTGGTATGTAATTATTATGTACGTTTAGGTGTCCGATACTTTTAGTAGATAGTCAAAGGCTTTAAAAAAATATGTATACGACAATAGTAGAGTTTGTCGCCGTTAACCGGTTAAAATTAACTGGTTAATTTAACTGGTTAATCATCAATCTTGGTATTACATATTTTTATTTTAGAATACATATCAGATATAAAGTAAATACAAATAAAACATAATCTATATATTAACAAATTTATAATGACGAAATAAAATATGGGTAATGCTGCGTATCAATATTTACTTTTTTCTTTTGTATGGGCTTGAGTGGGTGGGACTTATGACTAGAGTTTCTATTTGTAATTCGAATTATTCGTAATATTAATACGACTCAATCTTAACCCGAATTTATTCGTTTATTCGAATTATTTGTTTTATTATTGTTATTATTTGTTTTATTCATTTACTCGTTTTATTCGTTTTATTCGTTTATGCGTTTTATTCGTTTTATATTTATTAGCATTAGAATAGAAACCATACTATCTATGACTATAATTTTTTATCAATTATATTATTATTATTCGAATAATTCGTTTTGCAGTTAAAAATTTTCACGTGATTAAATTAACCAGTTAAAGAATTTTTGCGCGGTGCCAACCTCTAGACAATAATATTTCATATAAAGCTTTTTTTTTATTTAACAAAGTAATTGATAGAATCTAGATTTATTATGTTGTGCTGTTTTTTTCTTAACACATACTATATAACTCGAGCACGATCTCACACCACAATATTTTAGATATCAATGAAATCAGAAGAACTAGACAGCGAACATTATAGGGTTTAAACTTAAGATCATCAGCACTAAAGATGTTACAATATGGCAACAACTTATGAATTTTACGACTGATGAATTTAACCATAAACGGATTCAAGATCTTATTTATTAATAATTTATCTAACAACCATATTCAAAATCAGCAGAGTCTGGGGCGGTAGAAAGAATGAAAAATCATTTATGATATATATAATTAAAAGTTTTCTTTTATAATCATTTATTTCATTAGATATGATTGTGTGTTTTGTTGCTGTCAACAATTAGATAATGAAAGCTACGGCAACAAAAACTTTTAATGTTAGAACCTATTAATAAACGCATTTCAATATTATTTTAAAACAGATACATTTTTTAAAAGATAATTTGGCTTTGACTCATTTCTCAAAACCTCAATTATTTATGTGGAGCGTCAAAAAGTCACCTGATTGAGTCAAGTGATCAGTCTATTTCCACAGACAGACACCAAGGAACGATCGGGACCCAATTTTTTATGTGATTTTAAAAGAACGGAAGCCCGTAGATTCTTATGGGATTTACCATATTAATATTAATGTTAATATTAATATTTGGGATTTGATTCCAGAATAATCCAATTAAAGGTGAGAATAATAACGATGTTTTTTCGTTATTATTATATAATTATTATTATTTTATTATTATTAACGATTTTATTATTACCAATATTTGGATTAGCGTTTCTAATAATGATGAAATTTAGACGACCAATAAATCATTCGATCAATTAGCTGATCAAGCTAGATTATCACTATTAATAAATCATTTATTTTTTAAAATTTATTTTTTTATTTTACCACAAAGAAAGAAGGCATTGGAAGAATGATATTTATAAAACATGCCCGAGCATCTTGATCTTAAGTTATTTCTATTAACACATATTCGAATAAACTCATTTTATATAATTATATATTTCAATAGTAGCAATAGGCATTTGCGCTCTGGTCCCCATAGATTCGTTGGAATGTTTCACCACAATTTAAAAAATATTTAAGTAATTACCCAAGAGTTTTTAATGCCCCAAAATAAAAATTATGCGTCACATCCCTTAGTGTATATACCTGTTGCCATAATAATTTATACAATTATGAAATGACAAAAAAAACCAGTTCATTAAGACAAAATGAGCATTAGTTATGCCTAGTGATGTTAGCCGGCTAAAAAAAATACAATTTTTTGTATATATATATATTATAAAACAATTGGATTACACGTAGATCATTCCCAAATTAAAACACTTGCATTCAAAAATAATAACAATGCAGATCTTTTCACTCATAATGATCACGTTATTTATGAACATACATTTTTACATCTGGAATTTTAGTGCAGAATTCAAAGGCATGACATTTAGTCCACCTACATTACTTATAATGACAAAAAACCATACATTTTCTCAAAAAGCAAAATAAAATACATCATAATAGGATAAAAGTCATAGAGTTCCTATTCATGATACAGATTCTTATTTTAATTTGAATTATTATTATTCGTTTTATTTGTTATATTCGAATTATTCGTTTATTTGAATAAACTTTCAATGTAATTCGAATAAATCAAATAATTTAACCATTAAAGGTGAGATATTATAATAACAATAGTAAATAATAGAAATAATAATAACGGTAGTAGTAGTAGTAATAATACTGGCAAGCTTAGTATCATCTGAAACGATTTTTCATCAACTGGGATTTATTAAGTTCTTAGCCAGCTAAGAGTTGTTCGGCTTAGCCGGCCAAGGTTTTTCTATCGGCAAACATCACTAGCTATGCCCTGATAAGGCAAGTATAGTTGATATTGTCTGTTTGAAGATTTGGTGATGATAAAGAGAAGAAAGTGAAATCATTTTGTCTAAAAATAGAGTAAGGTTTAATGTAATTGAATAATACTTTCTGATAAAACCTACAGAGAGATCCTTCCCAATTTGATCTTTATGTCCAACAGCTTCCTTTTGTTTACTTGAAAAATATCTTTCAGATGCTTTCTTGAAAATTAATTTATTAATACTGACTGACCTTTCAAAATTTTATGACATCTTAATTACTTTGATGAAAATTTATGCCACACTATTATTGTTGCTAATAATATCATTATTAATATCACAGATCTTTCTTTCTTTATCTTTATTATTATCACCCATCTCTTCATTATTTCCTTATTAGTCCATTACATATAAATGATTAACTGGTAAAAAAATCCTACTATGAAAATATGTTTCTTAATTGATTATTTACACAAACAAATCAAGGGTTCTAATAAAAGAATCTACTCTTAACTAATAAAAGTAGTAGAGAAATAGTAGTATTGTCATCATATTATATTCATTGTATAATCTTATTAATAATAAATAAATGAAATATTATCCTCTAGTATAAAACTTGGTACAGCTCTGCTATAAATTGAACATTGTAGAATAACAACAAACCAGAATGACTCATTTTAAACATCATCACCTATATATTTATTTATTAAAAATTAATATGGTATTCTTCCACCATTTTTTTCAATAATCAATTCACAGGAATCCTTCATTGAGTCAATTAATCGCGAGTGGTCGTTGAATTCTTATTGCATGCCCCCCTCCTTACTTACATAATCCGGCTTATAGGCAACTAGGTATTAATCAAAACATTGGATATTATCCTATTCCTCCTTCATAAAACATTTTAATTCATCACAATTTTTTAGCATCCTTCTTTTAACATTTCGTTTAACAATACTCCAGAGGTTTTCAATGGGGTTAAGTTCAGGACTGTTGGATGGCGAGTTCACTAATTCAGGAACATTTCCATTGAGAAATTCCTGGGTGATTCTACTAATATGTTTAGGATCATTGTCCTGTTGGAATCGCCAAACATCCCCCAGCATCTCATTAACCTCTGGAATACTAAAATGCTAAAATTTTTTGTTCTGTCTTTTGACATGCGACGAACTGGCTTCACACCTTCATGCCAACGTTCCACTGTGTTCCTAAACAGTTGAAAAGCTGTTTCATCAATGAATTGTTATGATGGTGGAATTTGTAGATAAAGTTTTAATGATGAATAATAAAAATGAATTAAAGATGAAAAAAACCATAAAAGTCGGTTAAAGCATATAGAGGTGGTAATAATAATAATTGAACCAATACCCGGCCCACATCCGCACGATAATCCCAATTTGTTTCTCCAAAATTCCTAACCCAAACTCAATCCATACTCAAAAAACCCCATATTTTTTAAAAACATTATTAAATTTTTTATTTGAGAGCACTACGTAAAACAAATATACTTATTGGTTTAGATTTGATCGAGTTTCATTTATTGTTAAACCAGTTCCTTACTGTATGCACTAGAGACAGGAGTTGAACATATATAATTATTTAATGAATATTGCTATTATGAAGGTAAGGTCACGATGGACAAATTTTTAGTTCATAGATGGATATCTTTTAATTTTAAATTACTTTGTTAAACGATTTTTAAGACCTCCATATTTTATATATTGTAATTAGGTCTTGTGCTAATCCATCACAAAGCCCTCAATAAGAAATACATCATATCATACATAAAGATTTTTTATGAATTGTTATAATGTTTTCAATGCTTTAATTAAGCCTTCACTAGTATTTTTACCATCAATTATATATTTATTACGATTAATTCAAGTATAAAGTTGCAAAACCATCTTCACCTATCTTTCAATATTATTATCAAGTTCACCTTTCAGACAATAACCCCGTACCAGAACATATGTGCCATGCCTTAAATTGATATGTTCCGAAAAGATTGTTTGAATCGTCGTTTGTGTTAAATATTCGATAATTTATTTATCTGACGATACAAATATTAAAAAAAATCAGATAATCAAATTTTTTTAACGATAATCTTTTTATACATATATATAATAATAATAATTTATTTTTATTTTTTTTAAAAAACAATAATAAATAAACATGTCAAACGATAAAAAAAAAAAAGTAATTAGGTAAATTTTTTCAAATCGAAAAAAAAATAAAAAATAAATAAATCAAATACTAATAATTGATAATTAATACATATAGAGTATGGGTAGATGGATGTTTTGATATGATGCATTATGGGCACGCAAATGCTTTGCGTCAGGTAACCAACCAATCGACTTAATCAATTTAATTAAATAATTGTTATTTGTTATCATCATTGCCATCACTTCAACACTGTCTTTAATAACGATAGGCAAAAGCAATGGGAGATTATTTGGTGGTTGGAGTTCATTCTGATATGGAAATTGAAGCACATAAAGGACCAACTGTCATGAAAGAAGAAGAAAGGTGATAAATAAATAATATTTATACATTATATATTATTTATTTACAGTATTTATATATTTTTTTTTTATTCACAATACTTCCAATATCCTTTTAGATATGCAGCAGTAGAAGCATGTAAATGGGTTGATCTTGTAGTTCCAAATGCACCATATTTCACAAGTTTAGAAATGTTAGACCAGTTTAATTGTGATTTTTGTGTGCACGGAGATGACATCACCACGCTTGCAGATGGAACAGATTGTTATAAAGAAGTGAAAGAGGCAGGTAGGTATAGAGAGTGTAAACGAACACAAGGTGTCTCTACAACAGAACTAGTAGGTCGTATGTTGTTGATGACCCGAGATCATCATAAACGACAATCAACAAGCATTGCATCAGTCAATAACGAGGATTTGAATACATTTATTACTGACCCATCTCATAATAAAAAAATGGAAACAAGAATCTCTCATTTTTTACCAACATCTAGAAGGATTGTACAATTTTCGGAAGGAAGGGAGCCAAATGTTGGCGACAAAGTTGTTTATGTCGATGGTACGTTTGATTTATTTCATATTGGACATATTGAATTTTTAAAAAGAGCTAAAGCCTTAGGTGATTATTTATTGGTTGGTGTTCATGATGATAAGGTGATTGATTGTTTTGATTGTTCATTTTGATTGATTATTCTAGTTGATTAGTTTAATTGGTGATAATAATAACACATTATATTATTAATAGACGGTCAATGCAATAAAAGGGGTGAATTACCCTTTAATGAATCTTCATGAGCGTGTTTTGAGCGTCTTGGCATGCAAAGTAGGTGTCAATTAAAAATTATTACAATATTGATGATCTATAAAGGATTATATATATAAATTATTATATATATAGCATGTGGATGAAGTTATTATTGGAGCACCGTATAGTGTTGATGATAACGTATTATCCAAAGTATATAAAGTTGATATAGTTGCACATGGAAATACTCCATCTTTACCTGACATAGATGGCAAAGATCCTTACAAGGTATTTGTTAATTAATAACTTTAAATAAATAAATAAATTATAAATAAATAAATTGATTAATTATCTCATTTATTATTATTAATTAATTGATTGATTAAACAAATAGTTGCCAAAAAATAATGGTATTTATATTGAAATAGAAAATCCATCCGCAGATCTTACTACAGCAAAAATTATAGATCGCATAATTGAACATAGAAAGATGTGAGCGTTTAAAATTAATTCTAATAAAAATAGACTTTATTCTTTTAAAATTTAAATTAATATACATATTATGTATTAATTACAATTAATAGATATGAAGAAAGACAAGCAAAAAAAAATGAAAAGGCAAAACTTGAATATGAAGCAGAGTTATTAGAGAGGGAAAATAATAAAAAGAAATGAGAAATGAAAAATTAGAGAAATTTCTTTAATTTATATTTATTTGTTTAATGTAATTAAAATTACATAATAATTGGATAATTTTGTATTTTTATTTTTAATTTTTTAATTTTTCAGGAGTCTCTAATATTATAAATAAAAATACAAAGAAAAAAAACTCTTCAAAACCAGAATGGGAATGGCATAATTTATCAATTAGCTAATCTAAGAATTTTACCCCATGTCATAAACTTCTTTTCCCCTACTCACATAACCCTCCCAGTTTGTTTGTTCCTGACTGGTTCAATGGCTTCCACAGGTAACATACACTCTTTAAAGCGCATAGCAAAAATTCTATCTGCTACACATACTCTATGTATAATCAATCAATTCGCCTGTGCATATCAACAAACACTCAACAAATCACTTGCTCACTTTCTTTCATTTTCTTCTTGCACCTAAAGAAGAAGAAATATTTCTTTTTGACTTGCAGTTGCTGCACCAAAAAAAAAGGCTCATTGCATCCTTGGATTGAGATCCAAAGAGAAAACTACGACTTAAATTATGATTTGCTGATATATAACTCACGTGAATTTCGATTTTATTTATGAATAACTTTTTGTGGAATGGATGATTCGGGAATCTCCTTGATTATTATTATGTTATATAATTATAAATCTTCATCGTTATTCCGTAAAACTCGATCAATCAATTATTTTTTTAAAGTGCTTGATAAGCAAAAATAAACGGCTATCGATTTTTATCAATCTTTTAAAATTAAATATAACCAAATTTGAATAATTAAACAATTACCAAATATAGAGATACGGAAAATAAAATAATAATAATTAATAATAATAATAATAAATAATAAATAAATAATAAACAGTACCGGAGTTCATATCTGAACACGGAGTTTTGTTTTGAAAAAATTATGTTCTATATGTTGTATAAAGATCTATTGCTGCTGAATTGAATAAGATGTTATGATGCTGGAAAGGCATTCAATAGTATAGATGCCTATATTAAGATATCAGGTGATGTTGTGAAATTTATTTTTGTAGCTTTCAATCCTGGTATTGTAAAAATCCAAGATATTACCAATGAACTTTTCCATGAGTGAAAACTAAAAAGAACAGAAATTATAAAAGATATCATTTTCCATCCTGATATCCACTCATATGGATAAATAAAACTCGCTCTTTTGTCAAAGATGAAATTATTTTTGTTTATCTCTAGATTCTTTATGGTTTGTGTTAAACCTTTACTGGCTATGATTATTTTTTTCTTCTTGATAAATTTCATAGGTGATTCTTTCTTGATTTAAATATTCCTCATAATTTTCAGTTTCACTTGTTTTAAAACACAAGGAACTATTTTCTCACCTTGTTTTTCTTTCCAAACACTTTTGATGGTACAATAATTTTTAGGTTCCACGGTGGATTTATGTTTATAATTACCGTAATCCTTGGCAAATTAGCCACTACGCCTGCTGGAATTCTCGCTATTTTCAGAGCGGCCCAAAATAAGATAGTTTTTTAACTTAACTTGGAATGGTTTGCATTATCTCTTTTTCCTTTCTTATATATATGCTTCCTTGAAAAGAAAGGTACCCAAACTTGTTAATCATTAGAAAAGATGAAAAATATTTTTGACAAGCAAAAATATTAATGAACAGTATTTAATTAAATTTAATTATTGAAGAAAAGAAAATTTATATTAATATGCATGATTGGATTTATCCCATGGAAAAATTTAAAATTTACACGTGAAATTTACATTTGAAAACTTCTATTTTTCTCCTCATAAAGCAACGATATTTCAAGTCTGGCAGACTCTCACTCAAAGCCTTGGGGTGGTTTTTGAATGAACTCCTCTCTCTAGATTTAAGCCCATTGAATCTACTTCATCTGTCACTACAGAAGTAGAGAGTAGTCAAGGTCGTTATTGACGATAATTTTCTTAGTAATACTTTTTAATTCTCCAGCAGTTATTGGTCTAGCAATATGTTCTGATAAATTATCGTAACAAATTTAATCCTATATAGGGAATTTTAATGTCTTCGTTATTATGAAAGCAGAGCTCATTGAATTCGTCATCAAAAAAATCTAAAAATAAACTAATAAATTATATAAAGGACAAATGAGAAATCCCTGTAATTTCTTGACCTGGTTCTAATATTATGTAAATGTTGTACAAATTAATTTAAGCATAATCAGATGATCTACGTAATCAAATTTAATTAAGTGCTTATATAGTAACAATTCAAAATACCAATAAGTTCATGACTCGAGCTTCAAAACTTGAACTAAACACGGCTGAGCGGGACCCCGAACAATCTTGGAAGATGGTACATTACAATTTTGGGTAGAAAATAGTCTTCAAAAGTCGAATTACATTTCTTAATTAGGATAAATTTTGTGATAATCTTGTAAATTGTTTCCAAAAATGGTAATAAAGTGGGTATTTTCTCGAATGTATATACTCATCTCCTAAGATTGTTCAAGGTCTGGCTGAGCCATAAAATTGAGACCAGTAAAATTGGTGTAACAAATTTCCGTTTTATTGTTTTTATTTGTATTATTATTATTTATTTCCCTTTTTAAAAGAAAATCATTATCAAATTTGGTAATATAACTTATATGGTGCAAATGGTAATACGAAAATTTATTATTGCATAACTCCTTGAATGAATGGGGTGTATTTTTTTTTACATGTGGATCACATGATAATTCAAAATTTTCAACTTTTAGTATAGGTGATCTTCACTGTCCCTGAAATCTCAAAATGTTTACATTGTTTCGTATTATGCTCTTGTGATGATTTTATCAACTGTCATCATTCAAAAGTTTGCAAGGAGAGAAACTTATCGTTTTGTTGTATGTGATTTCGTTAATTACGTAAAGTGCTCATTCACTACCATTTCCATTTAATTCAGAATTCGGAAAGTTTAATTTATTCAATTTTGTTCTTTGTCTCTTTCTTGATATATGCACATAGATAGATAACAAACAATAATAAATATTGACAATAATAAAAATAATAAATAATAAATATACACTTATATTAATATACAATAATGAATAGAATTGAAGATCGCTTTGAATTCTATACTGTGAGAAAATTAATCACGTTGTAGCATTATGCATGGATTGCATGGACTATTAAAATATAATACTTACTCTACTAAGAAGAATGATGATTTACAATAATAATGCATGACCCGCTGCCAATACTTTCGTATGTGAAGAAAAAGAAGTTCTAAGAAAATTCTTTTAGAGAGATTAAAGGAATTATTTAATTTTTATATGAATGATTGATTTGATTATATTTTTAGGGAAAATAAATCCGAGATCAAAAACTGCTGTTAAAATAAATAAACCCATTAAACTCAGTAAAATAAATAAATAAATAAATAATTGACCAGTGTGCTACATACTTTACCACCCGATGACTCATATTCAATGACCAAATTATGATAAATAACTATAAATATAAAAAATTAAAAATATATCTTGCGGTTTTAAATACGGTTTTTTTTAAAATTGTTTACAATAATTTCGTGTTTATTTTTTATTAGTTAAAATATATTTTACTAAATCTTTTCTTTCTTTACTTTTTTTTTTCTTTTTTCTTTTTCTTTTTTAATTTATAATCTTTATAAACTCGATTCTTTAATTAATTGGTTTCTTTTATAAATAAAAAAATAATAAAAAAATTAGATTTCTTTTCACACATTTCATTTTTTTACATTTCATTCACAAAACAAATTATCACTCCTCATTTCTTATTTTACTCTTTCTTTTAATATTATTAAAGAAATAATCAACAAATCAACCAATCTTTAAGAATAACTTAGAAAAATCTAATATTTTAAAAATGTCTTCACCCAACTACAATAAATTAGGTGTTGATATTAATAGTGGTAGTAATAGTGATAATAATGGTGATAGTAATAGTGATAGTGATAGTGATACCAATCAAAGCAGAATCAATGGTGCTGATACCACTGAGAGTTTTCACAGAAAGAGTAATAATAATAACAATAATAACAATAATAACAATAATAACAATAGTAGTAAAAATACTACTAACAAAAACAATAATCATAATCACAATCATAATACTGACAATAATCATATTAGTAATCAGAGTATTACTATTAAAAGATTTGGAGTTAAGGCTAGTCCAAAATATTTAAAGTAGGTAATTTTTCCTTTTCTTTTCTTTTCTCTCTACATCTAATGATCATGAAGGAAAAGAGGGAGATTTTTTACGATACTAACTACTCCAATCAAACATCTAATCCATCCAAATTTTTAATTAATTAGAGATCCTTCCGCATTAAAATCAATTTCTTCCGCAATTTATGAGTTATCTTCATTCGTTGCTCATAAAATTCCTACAACATTAAACACATTACGTAAAGTTACTAACAACAACAACAACAATAATAATGGAGATAATTATTATCAGAATACATTAATTAACAATACTTACATTAATAATTCTACTTATTATAATAATAATAATAATAATAATAATGATATTGATTCATTATCACAACAGCCACATCTTCTTCATCATCATCAATCTCAAATTCTTCAGGTGTCCGATGTTGGATTATCATGTTATGAAAAGAAGAAAGATGTTATAGTATATTCATCGTTTGATGAACTTGCAACTGCGTCAAGTTCTAGAACTAATTCGATAAAGTATGTATTTATTATTATTACAAATCTCTCTTTTAAGGAGGTTAATATTGACGCGTCTAAACTTATGTTTAAATTTATATCTTTAATTTTTCAAGCCGATCAGTTCTAGTATTGGGATATCCGGATGGTTTCCAGATTTGGGATATTTCAAATGTAGATAATGTTAATGAATTAATCTCAATTAGAGATGATGAAAAAATTGGTGAAGTAAAAGTCGCAAAGGTTTGTATAAAGATGGTGATAATAATCATTATTATAATCATTGATTTTTTGTTTGAAGGAAGGTATGTCTAACTTCTTATTATTTATTATATAGATAATACCAAATCCGCGTATTGCTTCCAAAGTCGATATAGATGAATATGCACATCAACGTCCATTAATTGGATTAATGTAAATATATCTAACCAATTAATCATCATATTAATCATCATCATTATTAATATATATATATATATATATATATAGATGTATACCAGAACACTTGTCAAAAGAGAGTTATAATAGTCAAGATCGCTTATATAAATCAACACCACCATTTCCTCCCAAACCAAAAACGGTTTTACATTTGTTTTCCCTGAGAACTCATAAAATTGTAAAAACTGTTAATGGTATAGATGAAGGAAACATTGTTGGAATTAAGTGTAATGAAAGAGTTATAGCTTTGGTATGTTGTATATATATAATTACTATGTGTTATACATTTCTTTAATAAATAATATATTTACAAGTGTTTTTTCTTTATTTTTCTTAACCCAGGGTACAACAAACCCTTCAAGAATTTCGATATACTCTACACTAAATTTATCACCAATGTATATACTAAAAGACGTTGCACTACACCCAATATCAAAAACTCCCATATTTACACTCGGGTTAAGATTAATTGCCTATGCAACCACCAGTTTTCCACCTGAAAATAATATAAAGAAAAAAAAAGATGTTGGATATTATTTGGGTGGTGTTAGTGGTGGTCTCCATCATGATGACGATGATGATGATTTGATTGGTGCCTCGGGTAAATATCAAGAAGTTGCCAAAGGTGTTGCAAATGTTGTAAGCGGTGTGAAATTTTTAGGTAAGCGATTTTTCCACATATACGTATTTAAATTTTGTATTATATATATATATTTATTTATTTATCTGTATGTATTTTTCTCCAATTTTACTCCGACAGGTGATTATGGATTTCAAACGCTTTCGTCATATTTTGGCAATCCATCAAATTCACACACTAACATTAATAAGACACCATCATCAGTCACTATGCCAATCAATATTAAAAATCATAATGGTACAATTAGTCCAATATCATTTAATTCATCATCACCTCAACAAAGTCCATCGTCAAATAATATTAATGGTATTCATCATCACCATCACCACCAAAGAAATATTCACAACAATGGTGGAAATATTGACATGGTAAATGGTTTACATAATAATGAAACAGAAAAGGAAAACGGCGCAATTGGCACAATTATAATTCGTGATTTAGAAATATCCAATTCTCGTAAAATTAATAATAAAAACAATAAACATGATATGCGAGATCCAAACATTATAGCGCATTTTACGCCTCACACACATCCAGTTGGTTACTTGTCATTTAATCCATCCGGAACATTTTTATACTCCACTTCAACCCAAGGTCATCAATTTCATGTGTTTGAAATATTTGGTAACAGTAAATATCGACGAGTTGCCAATGGCGGAGTTAATAATAATATTGGTGGCAGCAGAAGTGTTAAAAGAGTTTATAAATTATCAAGAGGTATAACCGATGCTATTGTTGGTGAGGGTGGTGTTTGCTGGAGTGAAGATTCTAGATGGTGTGGGGTGGCTACTGGTCGTGGCACTATACATATTTTTGCCATAAATCCCTACGGTGGTTTGACTCATATACCCTCTCATCTATCAGGATGGGTTATTAATTTACAAGAACCTTCCTACTTATCATCAAGCACTTTGTCACCTGTTGTACGTATAAAACCACGTACACCTTTACCACAAGATCCAACTGAGTCTATCGACAACAACAATAACGTAAATAACATTAATGATGACGATTTGATTTTTCATCAACAACAACATTTTGATAATCAAGTTCAATATATGCAACAACAGTCGTTATCGTCACAATTACCATTCGTAATGCCACATCATCATTTACGTAAACCGCCAGGGATTTGCTTCAAATTTATACCACCTTTATCATCAACCACCTCTTCTAAATCAAGTCTTAGCAACGATAATGGAATCAATAAACATTTGAATGCAAATTTACACGAAAAACGTCAAGTAAGGAAGAGGTCTTCGTCAGCAACAATTGCTGCAACACTAGCTAGTCATAATAAAAATAATAACAATAACAGTTATTTACCAATTATCAATAACAACAATAATAATTTGAGTATACCCAATCCTTCTTCACCATCTGTTACTGTTACGTCAGCTTCATTATCACCAAGTTCATCATCTGCACAATCCTACAATAGTAATTATCATCAACAAACTGAAAAATTAGAAGATGTTGGGTACCAAGATTTATGGAGTTTTCATCCAACTGGTGTATTAACACTACACAGAGTTTGGTTAGAAAGTGTAATTTTAGGTGATCCCAATGGTAATAATAATACTAGCAATACTAATAATAGTGGGGGTGGTAAAGTTAATAATACTACAGGTGGGCAATTAGCTGGTAGCGCAGCAGCTGTAGCTAATGTTGGTAGAGTGTTAGTTGATGGAGCGACAGGTGTTGTTAATATGGGTATGGAGATAGCAGGTGCTAATAGGAAAGATGTTGGATCATCGTCCTCATCATCATTATCATCGTTATTGGATATGGCTACTACTTATGAAGATATAGCCGAATGGCAACTTGTTCGCAATAAAACTTGGGATGAAGTAAAAAATGTTATCGAACCACCTAAAAATCATCATAATTATTCTGATTCATTTGACTTTAATAGTAAAAGTAATAATAATAAAAAAGACGTTGTTGGTAATAAATGGCTTGCAAATGCTGAAATAGAAACTTATACCAACTCTAGATTGTCGTTACCACCACCATTATGGGAATGTCCACAATTTACACTTCAAATTTTTACTGCAGGATTCAACGATTACATAAATCAAGGCAATGTCCCGTTGGCGAACAAAGTTGATATTCGTAATCCTTTATTAAGTACAGGTAAACTAAATCAAGAAGGCGAATCTCTTGAAGATTTAGTCGTTGATGATAAAATGACGATAAATGATAAACATATTCATCATAGTCATAGTAGTAGTAATAGTAATGGTCGTAGTAATAGTCATAGTCGTAGTAATAGTCATAATCATAGTAATAGTAATAGTCATAGTCGTAGTCATAGTCATAGTCATCACAATCATTATGAAAATGATGGTAGTAGTTATGGTGGTAGTGGTATTGATTCAAATGTCATATTGGATAATAACCAAGGATATTTTGGTGGTGTTGTTGGAAAGGATAGTAGTAGCAAGAATAGCAAGAATAGCAAGAGTAGCAAGAGTAGCAGTAATAATAATAAAGGACGTAATAATCAGAATAGATTACATAAAGAAAATCAACAGCATGTTCAATCTAGGGAATCTGATATTGATATTGATATTGACTTATCAGGTAAATTTAATTATTAGACAATCTATCACTTATTGTTTGATTATATTGATTGATTATTAATTATTAATGGAAAAAAATAAACACAGAACTTTCAAGTGCTATTGACACAAAGCTTGATCTTTCAGCATCAAGTGAAGTCGCCATCAGCAACAAGAATGGCAGTGATGGTAACAATTTCGGTAATTAATCTATAATAACAAAAAAAATTAAAAAAATCAATTCTAATAACAAATAAATAATAATAACGATTTGTACTTTTTAAAAAATAGATTTAAATGATAATAATAATAAAACAACGACTATCCCCATAACAACTACTGCTAATACCGATAGTAATGATACTGAATTAATTAAACCATATTCAATACCTTATGTTACTAATTCTAAACCATCTCAATCATTGACAGCATCATTATTGACACCACAGTCAACAATCACTACTTTATTTCCTAATAATAATAGTAATAATAATTCGTCGTATTCACAATCAAATTCTTTAATATTTGGTAGTAATAGTTCAGAATTCGATGATATCATTAAAGAAGGACAAGAACAAAAACCAATTACCGCTATTACTAATAATACTTCAACTGGAAAAAATAGTTACGATTTTAGTAATGAGTTTAGTGATTCATTGTTCGGATCAGGAGAATTTGAAAGCTCATTTTTATTTTCAAATGATGATAATTTAAGTAGTTTGTCTAGTAATAATAATAATAGTAATGGTAGTACTAACGGCAACCTTAACAAGATTATTAAAAACAATAACAATAATGGTAGAAAAAACAATAACAGTGGTAATAATAATATGTATAAAGGCGTAAGAAATGATGAGCAACATATAAATGAATTGGTTTAATTATTGATGTTGGTTTCATTTAGAATATATATTAGATAGAACTAATTATACAAGAGATCTTTAGAAGAATCAAATACGTTTGTAGATTGAAAACATTAGAGAAAAGAACAAGAGGTTTTGGTTTATAGTAATTTGTAATTTATAGTTTTGTGACTTGTAATTTGTATGTAATTTTTTTAGATTTGTAATTAAAGTTTTTTTTTGTAACTATGTTATCTTTTATAAATTGTTCTGTAAATTAGTTTTATTTTCATGTTAACGTTAGTTAATACACGTAATTTATTTGTTTTTTTTGTAAATAAAAGAATATTTGTATTTTTTTTCAATTGATAATGATATTTATTTTTATATACAACTAAAAATTTATTACATTTTTTATCAATTATAAATAATGATTATTTATTTTATTTATTATAAAGAAAAATAATATATTATTCATAACATAATAATAATAATTAGTAATAGCAAGCAATAATAAGCAATAATATTAATAGTAATAATAATAATGATAAATGATTTTATGCAAAAAGAGGGAAGATTAATTAAAGAAAAAAAATATTAACAATAAATGTTCATTAAAACCCAATATTATATATTATATATATATATATTTGTATATGTGTGTGTATGTTGTAACCAAATATAACAAGAAAAACGAAAAATATAAAAATATTTAATATTGATTTGAAAAAGATCTAATTTATCCACCAAACCCATAGAGAGTTCTTCCTTGTCTCTTTAATGCATAGACTATAAAAAATTAATAATAATAGTAAGTAATTAATTAATAATAATTAATAATTACATAACAATAGATTAGATAGATTAAGATAAAGATGATACTAACCAACATCGAGCGAAGTTACGGTCTTACGTTTTGCGTGTTCCGTATAAGTAACCGCGTCACGTATAACATTTTCGAGGAACACTTTTAATACGCCTCTTGTCTCTTCATATATAAGACCCGAGATACGTTTAACACCACCTCTGCGTGCTAATCTACGAATGGCAGGTTTTGTAATACCTTGAATATTATCTCTAAGAATTTTACGATGTCTTTTAGCTCCTCCTTTACCAAGACCTTTTCCTCCTTTACCACGTCCAGACATTTTTTATTTTATTTAAGGGTGTAAGTTGTAATTGTTAAAATAATATTTCTTTTGACAAAGAAATATTTTATTTATTAATGTGTGAGTTTTTTATCTGTTGACAAAAGGATCGAAAATTTTTTTGAAGAGAAATGAATTCAAAGTTGAATCAATTTAGTATCTTTATATATACTTTGAATGTTAACTAGAGAAACGCGTTAATTCTTTTTTTTTAGGAAGAAAAAAAAATTATTGTTTTGATTAAATAACAATAACAATAAATAAAATTTTTTTAGGTAAAATTTTTAGAATTAAAACCGTTTAAAAAATTTTTTTTTATTCCTTATCTAATTTTAGTCAAAATAATAACAATAACAACAACAAAAACAAACAAACAAACAAACAAAACACTATCATCATTATGATGATATTAATTATATTAATTATTATAATAGAACGCGTATACAAATTTTTTTTAACTTTTTTTTTTTATAGAAATTTTATTATTAATATAATTAGTGTGATTTCTTTACATAACTTGTTATTTAAGGAAGTGAAAAATCAAGTTTCCTTTCCATTTTAAGAAACTCTTGGAATTTGTCCCTTTACAATAATTATTGATTGACATTTTCCTAATTCGTCATCAAAATAATAATAATAACACGTCTTTACCATAAGAAATTTATAAACAAATCCCCTTTCTTTTTTTTATATTAATCCTTTTTTAACGTTATTTTCATAACAATAACAAAAACAACAACGAAAACAACAACAGCAATTAATAACAAGTAACGATAAACCAGGGGAATAACTAATTAATTAATTTTATTTTTTTTAATATAAATACAAGGCAATAAACATCCCTCAAATTTTCATCTGTTTTCAAAAATTAACATTATCTCTCGGTAAAAATTTAAATCACACAATAAAATTAGTTCATTTTAAACAAAAAAAAATTAAAAAATAATAAATAATATAATAAAATGGCACGTACTAAACAAACTGCTCGTAAATCAACCGGTGGTAAAGCTCCAAGAAAACAATTAGCAACTAAAGCAGCAAGAAAAAGTGCACCAACAGCTGGTGGAGTAAAAAAAGTGATTAATAATTTAAATATATATAATAAATGATAATAATTAATTATTACAATAACACAATAATAATAATGTTATGTTTTTTTTCTTCCCATAATTATATATAATAGCCACATAGATACAGACCAGGAACTGTAGCACTTAGAGAAATTAGACGTTATCAAAAAAGTACCGAATTATTAATTCGTAAATTACCTTTCCAAAGGCTTGTTCGAGAAATTGCTCAAGATTTCAAAACCGACTTACGATTCCAAAGTTCAGCTATCGGAGCACTTCAAGAAGCCGCTGAAGCTTATTTAGTTGCCTTATTTGAAGATACTAATTTGGCTGCCATTCATGCTAAACGTGTCACCATTCAACCAAAAGATATTCAACTTGCACGTCGTCTTCGTGGTGAACGATCTTAAATCAATTATTCTACACGTCTACACTATATATATATACTCAAATGCTTGTTTTATTTCAAATCAAGTTAATTAATTAATATTTTATCACTACTATACTATTATATTATTATTATTGCTATGTTATTATTATTATTATTATTATTATTATCAACGAAATAAAATTTTATTATTATTATTAACGAAATAAAATTTTATTATTATTAATTAACGGAAATAAAAAATCAATCATTTGCTGTGTCATTACTCTTTCTTGACTTATTGTTATTCTATCCATATAACACTTTTACAAATTAAGTTGTAAAAGTCTCTTAGTGCTATTACTATGTATATATAACTTAAGATAAACGTGCAGTTGTGTCTAAATTGTTTAAGATGCGTTCCCTCCCGGTTGTGTTAGATTGAGTACAGTATACTTTGTGCAGCGAGTATAGTACAAACCATTTTTAATCATTTTTGGCAATGATAATTGTACTTACGTGCCTTTTTTGGGCTGGGTGTGTGGGACCTATAAATTGTACTTACCGTACTCAATCTAATTCTATACCCGTGTCCCTTCACCCATACATTATGACGAAATAAATTGTTTCGATCTCGATTTCGATAACAAAATTTCGAGTGATAGCGTGTTATATAACATGCAGAACTATATGAAATTAATTACAAACAAATCTAAATTTTCGAAATCCAAAATCGAAATCGAAATTGAAAGTTCACTTTTTAAAAAATGGTGTGCTTTTTTTTCTTTAATAAGCCACTTTCAATAAAAAGACTAACAGATATTGCAAGTTTCGAAACTTCTTTGAATCTGGTAAATAAAAATATTGCCATAGTTTAAACTAAAAAGATTTTTATCATCGATTTCGATTTCTAAATACTTTATTAAACTAGTGTAATATATTTTGTAAGTAACTATGATAGATACAATGATACCTGGACATGAAAATTATCAGAAAAGGACTTGGTGTACACAATCTCCCAACAGCACATTTATTTGACTAAAGTAACAACCACTGATGACAATAATTACTACTTTATTCTGTCAAGATCAACAACAACTTACAACCAATTCAAACTCTCGAGTGAAGGAAGACCTTAGTTACAGAAAAGCCAGAGCCATCTTGCGAATTATTCAAAGAGAAACTAATTTGTAGTGAAGTTGAATCGACGAACAAAAAAATATGTTTCAGAATCAGGTGTATCTGGTGAACCATCTGCAAAGACAATAATGTAATAACAAGTCAACCAACATCCTACTAGGCACCTGAACATTATTGTAATGATGTCGAAGTCTAAATTTTATTTTTTTATGTTAAAGAATAATAACAGAAGTATTCCAAGTAAAGAATACCGAAGATAACAAGATTTAATCAATAAGGTATTAACATAATTGATGCATATTTAAAAGCTTTTTCAAAAGATATGAGCGAAAATCTAAAGAGCATACCAACTGATGATCCAAAAACATACTATATTATTTTGAGTAATTTAAAGAATTCTTTAGAATGAAGGAACCTTCTTTGGTTAAATTTAAGTTCCACATATATGTATGTAAATTCTCTTTTTTTTTCCAATTTTTGTTTTCCTTTTCTTTCCATTGAAGAAACTTTTGGTGATACATTCTAAAGATGGAAACCATTAAATTGTCAAAAAAATTATGAATTAATTTATCCAAGGTATGATTTATTATGTATAGTAAACCGATTGATAAAGAAATGATAAATGATAAATGATGTTATTAAATAAATCAATTGATGCATTAAAAAAACATTAGGAAAAAATTAATTAAACAATCATATAAAATTTCCATTCTCAGATATGTTGATTGAATAGAGTTGTATTATGCAATGGTTGTAAAGAAAAGGTGATCGAGAACTTAGAAGCTGATTGTGGAAATAAAAAAATAATCAAGTTTCTTTACAAATGTTGTTTATTAATTATTAATTATAATTATAACTTGTAGTTGAGAGTAAATAATGCTTTGGAAACATTTGAAATGGAAATTTACATAATTTATTCAAATATTATTAAAGCAATGTACAAATTTATAGTTTTGGAATGATTATGTGGGAACATACTATAGGTAAAAAATTATCACCTAATAATGTATATTCTTGAGGAACAAGACCTAAAATTACCAAAGACGTTAAGAGAATTGACCAACTGTCAGAGAAATTTATTGTCATTGCTATAATATCATTAATTCTTCTAAAAATAAAACGTGATTTTTGATTTAATCATTAAATCAGAAAAATATCTGTCAAGAGCAAAGAATTATAAATACCATTTAGATGCACTCTTCCACTTAGTAAATTAATTGAACAAGCCAATTTACAAAATAATTGAGTCAACAATCCACTGTATCAATAGATCACGATGATTCAAATAAAAAAAAACTTAATTGAATATAATTTTAACAGTAATGCCTCAGTATTTATGCCAATGTAGATAAAAATGAACACCAGTGACAATAATGTTAGGAGTTGTAACAGTGATGATTGGTATTAGTAATAATAAAAGAAGCAATAAAAAAAAATCAACATACTTTTTAAAATGTTTTTATTATTATTACTAAAAAAATAGTATTTATAAATTTTATCAATTAATTGAATATGTATATGAATTATTTTGGTCGAATAGATACGGTGAACGCAAACTATTCACGTCTAAAGAAATCGCAAATGTCAACTGTTAAATCAATAATTAACTATTCCTCGTATAGAGATAGCTATTTCTGGCGCGAAGAGCATGGGAGTCATGATTTAGAACGGACACCAGCACAAAAATTTCCTTTGAAACTTAAAACCTTTGATCAATTCGTCGTCGTCACCATCACTCGCGTCACCACTAGAACCATTAAAAATTCGAATGCAAGCGCGATGTGGTAACTCATCATCTCTAACATCTACCACCTCCAGCAACACTGTGATGTATAAAGTACCAGTTGATCGCGTTAAACAATCGATTAGAAGACATGAGATAAGAAATGGGAGTAACCGTTATCAGAGAAATACCTGTTATGCCAACTTCTACTTCATAAAAAGAAGTCGGTACTAGCCCGGAGGGGTTATCTTATCGAAGGAAAGTTTATTCCACAACAAAAAAGAACTTCGCGTTTTTTTGCACAAACAAACTGATTCATCTGAAGCAATTGACAGTTTAATGTGACAAATGATATTTTGCTTTTATAATTATAGTAATTTTTATAAAAATTTGTTTAAAATGGATTTTTCAAATAATCAATATTATGACGAAATTTCTTGTTTTTTTTATTACCATTATCTAACAAAAAATGTATAATAAAATAATAATGAAATCAGCGCAAATCTGTACTAAATATGTATAACTTTGGTTTGGATTATCTCAAGATTATTTCTTTCCCTCTATTCAACTAATAAGTAAATAATGGTAAGATCAATTTGTAATTAATTCACAATTTCATAATTAATGATTAATTTGTTCTTTTCCACATTAATCTCTCGCACATATACATTAAATAAATAAGTCAACGACCTGTGAAATAGATCCGACAGTAATAGAAAAACTTCGAAAGTTTAGATTTGCAAAAAAATCAAAAAAAGGCTGTGCTGCTTTTGTTTGTAAGTTTTGTTTGTTTTTCTGTTAAAGAGGAAAAAAGAGTAAATGAAATGAAAATAATAATGAAAAATATAATAACAACAACAACAACAACAACAATAATGGTTGTAATGGTGAAAATAAATAAAATAACATAATTAAAGAACATAAGGATTTCTCTTTTTTTTTTATGAAAAAAAACACTTAATAAAAAAAATAAAGTAAAGATTGATCGAGAAAATTTAGTGGTTGTTGAAGATGAAATCCATGATGATATAACTTTAGAAGAACTTGTCGAAGGTAATCAATCACATTACACATGTTTTAATGGTGTGTAATTATGATAAATTTATCTATTCATCTAATTGTCAACATGCGTAGAACTTCCTGAGAATGCACCAAGATATATTGTGTTAAGTTATGAGGTATGAAGAAAATAAGGGATTAATTTTTTCTTTAATCATCATCGTCATGACTTTAATTATTATTTTAACATGTATTATTATTATTATCAGTTGAATCATGAGGATGGAAGAAAATCATATCCATTAGTATTAATTTATTATTCACCTATATCTACAAATCCTGAAGCACACATGCTGGTAACAATTTATTTTTTAACCTATTTTTATTTATTAATTATTTTTAATGTTGTTACTTACAGTCCACTGATCATTTATTATAGTATACTAGTTCAAAAGTATATTTTCAACAAAAAGCAGATTTAAATAAAGTAATAAAGTGGATAAATCTACTACTAAATTAACAATTATTTGACCTTCAATTTATTAACTCATTATTAACTTGATATTAATTCGCATATATTTATTTAGACATTTGACATTCGTGAATTAGAATTGCTAAATGATGAATGGCTAAAGGTGGGTAGCGAGAGAAAAATTTTTGTGTGAAAGAAAGAAAAAAAATAATGTTTATATATTTTTGTAAGGAAAAAAAATATTTATTAATTTAATTAATTCTTTTATAGGGGAAATTATTACATTAAGGAAATACATTCTTAACGATAAAAGTAAAAAAAGAGCAAGGATGAGAGCTGCAAAGATGGAAAATAAAAGATTATTCCTATATCTTCATAATAATAATCTGTTATCTATACTTAACAAGAATATATTATTCTTCTGCAAAAACATGTTTTAATCTTCTTCATTGGTTCATTTTACTCTTGCATCTGAAACCACGTGTAATATGCTTCCTTCAAGGAGCTCTTTTAATATTCTCATTTTGAACTCTGATGGTGTCTTGGAGCAAAAATAACGAAAAAACTTGATTTCCCAAATCCTTACCATTATCGATGTTATCATTGACGTAATAAATAATTGCATCACCCAAGTAATAAATAATACCATGTGGAAAATGAACAAATAATGCGTCTACTCGGGATATAGTCCCTTAAAGGCAAATAATTAAAAATCTACCACAAACATGCGTTAAGGTACTCTCGCACGCTTCATATCCATGGATTTTTTTTTTTCATGGGTAAGCCACATACATGTTGGAAGGCGAAAGTTTCAAGTTCACTTACTTTCATAAATAATCAGTTGTAAACTTGGATCCTTTGATTTTTTTTCTTTTAAAAAACTTTTGCTAAATCCAAAATTCTTGACTATTAAATTTCTACAAAATAGTTTTAGCAAACCTTATTAACCAACACCCCAATAAAGTAATGACCATATTAAAGCTTAGAGTATTTTACACCTCATTAGTCACTATCAGGTCTTTAAAATGAATTGCTTGCGATTAACTGACAAGAGTAGCCATACTTGTTAAATAATCAGTAAATATTGAGTGGGGTGAAATTCTGATTGGCTAATTTGAATTGCGAATTCAAATAATTTCATTTTCACGTACAACATTTTCTTGTGGTATGAAAGTTTATTTATACCTTTCCATATATATATTTAATTGGGACTTGGTAGGAAAAGAAGGTTTAAAAAAAACGTAACTGGGCGAAAAAAGAAAATTGTAGGAAAATGTCTATAAGTGTTTTTTTTATTTTTTAATTATTTGACAGTGTTGTATATATATATTAATGTAATACTAAGTGAATTTTGAATTCTTTACATATGTGAATTTAAATTCAAATTCACATAATTTCAATTTCATGTACAACATATATATAACAAATATGGTTATTTATGAAAATAAAAGTTAGTTTTTACATGGGTTAAAATAGCAAAATATTGCACACAAATAGCTGAATGACTGATTAAATTTTATTATTCATTTTTATAAAAAACGAATTTTATTGTTGTTGTCCACGGCCCTGATTTTGTTGAGGACCTCCTGGAGGAGGTGGTGGTGGTGGTCGCATGGCTGGAGGTCTAAATCCTTGAGGTGGTGCTTGTCCAGGTACCGGAAAACTATATAAACATATATGTTTGTATATATTTATCTATACAATAAAATTATTAACCTTTACTGAGAGGAAAAAAATACTTGATTGCTTACCCTGGAGGCATTCCACGCCCACCTCCTGAAAAAGGTGGAGGTCCACCAGGCTATTAATTAAACAAGGAAAAATTTGTAATCAAATAATTTAATCAAACAAAAAACAATCAAACAATTAATTGATAATTACTATTCCCATAGACATTGGTCTCATTCCAGGAGGTGGTGCGCCTCCTCTAAAAGCTGGTGGCATACCTCCCATTACAGATGGCATACCCGGTGGTGGTCCCATCCCACCTCTATAACCAGGTGGCATACCTGCCATTACAGGTGGCATACCTCTAGGTGCCATTCCGGGTGGCATTCCAGAAGGAATTTGTCCAGGAATTGGTGGTCTACCATATGATATAGGCGGTGCTGCTGCTGCTGCTGGAGCTGTCCCTCTTGGTTGCATTATACTAGGAGATGGCCCACCTATACCGCGAACAGGCCCTGTAAGACCTTTTTTTTTTTGAAAGAATAATTTGTTGAATCATGATAAAATTTTTTATAATCATATAAAGTTAATAAAAAACTTACCCGCTGGGGTAGCACCTGGTGGTGCGACTGGTAAACCTCTACCAGCAGGACGACCTATACCAGGACCAATAGGAAGCTAATTAAAATAAATAATTATGTAAATTATGTAAATAAATAAATAAATAAATAAAATTTTTTTTGATAAAGTGATTTTTTACTTGTGCTAACTTAGACTTTGATTCATCAATAGCTGGTGGTGGTGGTCCATCAACACTTAGACTAACGATAGTTTCACCTCTTAGAATCACTAAACCCAATGTTCTTTTCTCTTCATGTTCTGGTTGACCCTGTGGTACTTTTGATCCACTTTTAGGTTTAATTTTTCGGAATTCTTCACAATCGGCCAACACCAAATTCATATGCTTATCAAAAGCTAACATCTGCCCTGTTAAGACTCTCGAATCTGACATTGTTATTCGAAGTCGATAATTTATCAGATTTAACATTTTGGAGTTCTTTGTTATCGACTATATTTAATATATTCAAACAAATGTTTAATTTTTCCCCAAACAACATTAAACTTTTAAAACAACAGATAATTACTATCCAAAATATTATTTAGAAAAGACTATTAAAAACAAAGAATGTTCTTACCATTTTGAAATTTCAATTGATTCAAAGAAAATTTTTTTGGTAAACAAAATCTAAAAATTATATAAAAAAAAAAAATTTAAAAATCCAACTCGTGTGATACTGTGATACAAGTTGTTTATATTATACTATAAATAACACGTGATATGCGTACGTTTTTTTGTTAAAGTAAATTTGCTAAAAACGAGAAGCAAACATTTAACGAGGTTCATGATCCAAGATATAAACGTGGTGATTATTCAGTTAATTACATATACGATCGTTGTCTCACAACAAAATCATACCAGATTTATGGTATAATGATCAATTTATTAGATAGTTATCGTGGACGAAAAATAGAAGTGGCAAAACGTCTTGAGAAAAAAACCCAGAACTTTTAAATTCAGATCATAGATTTCAAGTTTTAAATAGCTTTGTATTATAAAGCTTGAAGCATAGGCATATAGGAACATATTCTTTAAAATAATAAGTTCAATTGATAATTTATTACATTTATGTTGTTGTTACTAGGCAAAAATCCTTTGGTTAATTAAAGTTTAATTAAAGTTTAATTAAATTTGAAATATGTAGCGAATAATTGGATTGTATTTTTATTAATATTAATATATTGATATTACACTTTGAAACTGTCAATTATCTGCAAGGATTATGCCATGCAAATAGGAAATTAAAATGTATATTAATATAAGAAGGACTTTCGGTGGAAATAAGGTTCAATTTTGGATGAATGCAAGAATCTTACATAGTAGAAATAGTAATGTTGTCATCTCTCGTTACAGCGGGCTTTTTTTGCTTCCCCAAGTTTTCTTTAACAGTGGAAAATTACATATGGAACTGAGGGTCCACTATTACTATAACGAGAGTTCTGTAATATCTAATAATAAACTTGCATTGAAATCTTATCTCCTAATCTAATACTGCAAAACTAGATCGTAATATTTATTTACTCGGTGTAATATTTAAATTGTTGTAGTACTGTACGTGAAAATGAATAATAATATGACGCACCACATTGGAAAATAGTGACTAAAAAATGTATATTACCCGTTTTTATATATATTAATTTTATATTTATAAAAACATACAATTAATAAATTAAAGATAAATAAATAGTTAATTAATTATAAGAATAATAGAAATGAAATCTTCAATCCCTTCCCAATATTTATAATTGTTAATGTTCTTGAGGAAGGGGAAAAGATAAATTAATAATAATTATAACAAAAATGTCGTAAGATAAAAAGGTAAGGATCCTGTCCTCCAAGTAAAAAGAATTGAAGATCTAAAAAAATTTTATACAGGATTTTTTTTTAAAAAAAAAATTAAAATTAAAACTAATTGTTATATTAATATATTATATTCACAAAATAAAAATAAAAATAAAAATGAAAAATTTTTTCTAAATATTAAAATATTTTTTATATTCAAAGCTTTAATTCCTACAAGTATAACAAATGTAATAAATAAATATTAGTTATTGTTTATTCATTCATTATAATAATATAATAACATAAACCAAAGTCATAAAAAAATAAAGGTACCTCGCTTAATACAAAATTAAAAAAAATAATAATCATGACGACGGTGCTGCACTTAAGCCATTTTCTTTCTACAAAAAAAATTTTTTTTATTAATAAAAATAGTATTTATTAAAAATACAAATACAAATTATTTTATTAATCATTTACCATTGCTTCTTTAACTTTATCAAATTCTTTAATCATCTTTCGTCGAGCTCCGAGTGCTGCCACACCTTTCTGTTCTAATGTTGGATCATCCAATTCAATAATATCTTGCCATTTCATTCCTTCAAATACCTGCGTATATTTATGCAATCGAAGACTTCTAAGCCATGCAGGAACATCTTTTTAATTTGAAAAAATTTTATTTTATTTTTAGTAAAATGTTATATATATATATATTATCTGAATCATAAATCATTTATTTACCTTCTAATAAGTTAAAATCAACTGTATCATCGGTTTGTTTCTTTTTAGCTTTACCATGACCCTTTGGTTTATTATTATTACCAGCATTATGTGAAGCATCACTATGATCACTATGATAACCGTTATTTTCATCGCTACCGACACGTACTAGATTAGGTGGTGGTGCTAAATGTGTTCCACTACCACCCTTTCCATTTGATGCCGACCACCCACCATGATGAACTTGATATTGATTGTTGTGGTGATGGTTTGGTGATGGTGGCCTTGAACCTTGTCTTGAACCAACAATATTTGGGCTTGGCATTGGAGATTGTTGAGGTGATCTTAAATTACCATCAGTATCATACATTGATAATACAATATTAGTTCCAAGATTTGAATTATTATTATTGTTATTATGATTATGGTTATGATTGTTATGGTTATAATTGTTATTGTTATGATTGTGATTATAATGATTGTATTTTTCTTCTTGTACAGTAGCAGGTACACCCGAATTATTTTTTCCTTGATTACGGCGAAACTTTTTAACATCACTTTCCAAAACAATTCTATTGCCTGAGCTATTACTTAAATTCCAATTTGCAAGTTTCTTATTGACCAATTCTGCATCTGCAGCTTGTTTGTTTTTATTTTCGGCAAACATTGGCACAACCGGCGTCGGAACCATACTAGCCCAACTACCGCCTACTAACGGTGATAATTCAGCATCAAAAGCACCAGGTCTAGGCGAATGTATAGAGTAACTTGGGGTCCAAGCACTAAGGTCGGCTGATTTTGGTCTACCATTAGTTGTACGGTCCTTAAGAAAGATTATTATTAGAATTATTAGAATTAGAATTTTTATTAAGAATTACTATTATTACTGACTATTGTTATTATTATAAACATTATTAGATTAGTATTAAATTACGTTATTATTGTTATTATTATTATTATTATTATTATTATTATTATTGGCAGAAACAGAATTGGCAGTTGTAGGAGTTTGTGCAACTGAGGAATTCCATAGACTTGGATCTGTTTCTGATATCATCGATTTTGGTCTTGTTTGAAATAAAGTTGCAGAACGATTACCGGTATTTGCTTGAAGTCTTGCTCTTTTTTGTGCCAATGCCACGGCAGGATCTGTATAAATGGCAGCTTCGGGCGATAGGAAGTCTACACCGGAATGTCTATCGTAAAGACGACGTGGATATGTTTGACTGGTTGGTGATTTTAGTGACATTGCTTCTGTTTTAATTGCACCTGATAATTGCGCTTGCATTAAATCTATATAGATATATGAGAGGAAAAGACAGTGTGCGTGCATGATATGTGAGTTGTGTGTTTATATATATATATATATATATATATATATTAAAATATCAAAAGGGAAATTTGATAAATTTAGAAATTTTTTTTGTAAAACAATTCAATATTATTTTGTTAAAAGATAGTATTAGAATAAATTATTATGATGATCAACTTTATGTGTATACACTTGATGTATATATATACATTTCCTTTGCTTAATTAATTAATTAATTCTGATCTTGCTGTTCTATTTTTTCACACATATTCATTACACTGTAACTGACCTTTCTCAGGATTTGCTGGTGATAAAAGAGCACCCATTGGATCATTTCTGGCCATCTGTTGTAAAACAGTTATGAAAAACCTTATTTGTACTTGAGTTGAATGCTGAAGCAGACTGAATAAAGCAGCCGTCCTTTCAGCTTCCGATAACACACGAAACCATTGTTCAATAGCTTTTAATTCTTCTTTAAAAGTTTCATCTAAACTTGCCGTTGCCATTTCTTCAAGAGTTTGTTCGTAGTGTTGAAGATCTTCAAACCATTTATCAATTGCTTCAGCTAGATAATAATTTATAATAACCATCGTTAATTATTTAATTGATTAAAGGAACAAAGAAGTAGATAAAACTTTTATTATAATTATGCATGTATACACATATATATTTGTTGAACTTTACCTTCAGGTGACTGATATGAGTTGTGATTGTTAGTGGGGAATACTTCGGAGGTTGGGCGAGAGCCTCTATGGTTGGTGGCTTGTTGGCCACCTAAATGTGATAAATCTGCTGACATTCTGTATTGAGGATTGGATCCTGACTTTTGTTGTGTTTGTGTTTGAAGATTATATTGTTCAGAAACTGGCCGTGGTGTTGCCATTTAATATATATATATATATTAAAATTAATGAAATACTTTTGATAAAATACTAAAAAAATTTTTTTAAAGATCAGGAATAACTAATAAAACAAATTAAAAAAAAAAAAATTTTATATAAAAGAAAGAAAGAGTTTTTTTTAACAAACAAATAAATTATTATTATAAAGAACAAACAAAATTAATTAACCTGTCCTTCCTTCCTTGTTCTTATTTATTTTAAGGAAATTTTAATGGTAGGAAAAGATATTTATAATTATTTAATTAATAATATGGGGTAACAAAATATATCGTTACACCGGATGTGACGATTCGATCGTGACATATATATTTACTTTAAATGGTTTGCCGCGGACTATACAAATTTGTTTCACAACAAGTCACGAAAAGGTATGCAATGCATGTTTTCCTTCCTTTCTTAATCTTTTGTATCTTCTTCTTTTGACTACTTATCAGAGCTGTTTTTCTCAAGGTAACAAAGTGAGCATAATTGTGGCTTTTATGTACATTTCAATTAACTAGCATTATAAGCTAAGTTATAATTTTCCTCCAACAGCAGATATTTCAGAGCCAGTTTCTTCTTCACTAAATCATTTACCCATTCTTCATTTTTTATATTGAGGTGATTAGAGTTTGTCCTGCAAATATTCATTTCTGATTGAAAATTATAATTCAATGACTTAAGCAAACATCATACAAAATGCTCTTGGAGATTTGCAGCACTAATGATTGTGCAAATGAATAGAGAAGCTCAGGGTAGTGATTATTATTATTCACCATTCTTTTCTTCCAAATCTTTGAACTGAAAAGCTTAGTTTTCTTTATCAACTTGCTAATAGGTGCTTGCAATTTTTTTAGAGAATGTAAATGCAACAATTACAGTAGCAGCTTTTTAAATTAATTGAATTATAGAAACCAAAATCTAGTATATATATATTAATTGCTGATTTATGAATGAATCAGAGAAATGATCAACATTTTAATATAAAATTTTGGTGCTAATTGTTATTAATAATTTCCAAATCTTACTGTCCTCACATGACATGTCAACTCTCATGTCTACACAAAAAGTATAAAGAACAACCTTAGAATTCTTTCAAGATTGTTGAATGCTACTTTAAAATTCTTTTGCAGTTATTTTATTGGTTCATTTGGTAAAATAAAAGTTTTTTTGTTATGAAATTCGATCTGCAAGAATTTTTTGCGCATATCCAAATTTAAAATTACAAAATTACTTATAAAAAAAAATTCTTCTACTGTTTTTATTTGCCCAATGTTCATATGCATTCTCAAAATTAAAATCCTCAATATCAGGTCCATTTAATTTAATAATTAAATGTTTATTTAATGTGTTAATATTCATTTTGTTTCTTTTTAATTGACGATCCGCGAACGAAGCAGAGAATTCTTAGTGATTGGTGGTGCAAAAATGGTAAAAAATCGTCAGTTGACAATGTTTAACAAATAATAAAGCACGATGTTTTGGTATTACAAACTTTGTTCTTTTTATGTATGTATAAAGTAAATTTCATAGATTATTGTATCAAAATATTAAAGGCTTGGAATGTTTCTTGAAAACTTTTATACATAGGAAGCTGAATTTTTTAATTTTCAGCCAACACTATCAAGTATCTGACCAGAGCTATACATTTTTTTTTATCGGTTTATCAACAAAAAAACTTTTATTTTACCAAATGAACCACATATTGTTATAAGTATACTTGTCGTCGGAATTCTCGAATTACGGTAAATTAGGCATTACGTATAAGCCGTAAATAAATTTCGGCATGAGACCCTAAAGTCGTAAAAGCCGTAAACCGTAATT